TTTTAAAAGCTTCAATTTTTTTCTTCTTTGTCCTTTCTTGGGTGGTTTTCTGGCCGGAGCATTCAGCCTCTGTGCTGCTCCTTCTGTCCTTGCTATATTCCCTTTCTGAGTATGAGGTTCTCAGACAGTTCCTTCATTCTTTCCTTCTCATCAGTTTATCTATTAATAGTTTCCACCCCCTATTTCTCCCTAATTAGGATAACTGGATATTGTGTTATCAATCTGGTTTGTGAGATCTTATTCCTATTGGAGCCATAATTTTTTTTTAGTTTCTGATCGTGGACTTATAAAATCATTTCCCAGAAACTTCTGAGCTGCCTAATCAACATATCTAAATCAAGTTTATGTTTTTTCTCTTGGCTACTATGAGCTTTGGGATGAAATATTCACAGCCTCCCAAGTTCCCATCATTGAACCTCACTTAATGATTTTTTTGGTGAGATGTTCAATAAAAAAATGGAGATTCTCTTCTTTGTCTCTTCAGCAATCTGAAAGATGCTATTGTAAGTGTCTCGACAAGAATTTATTGAATGTTCCTGTCGTTGGAGAGCTGTGGAGTCTTTCCAACTCTAGATGTTTCCAGGTGTTAAAAAATGTGAAGTTTGAGATTAATTTGAAAAAAGGCTGCATCAGGGGGGGAATCTGATATATAAGTAGCTTGGGGAGACTGGGATCAATGGAGAAGCAGGAAAAATGACCAGCCTTGGGGTGTAGGTATATGTTGTACTGGATGGGGTAGGTATACATGTACTGGATGGGGTAGGTATACGTGTACTGGATGGGGTAGGTATACGTGTACTGGATGGTTTAGGTATATGTTGTATTGGATGGTGGGGAGGGGAGTATGCACATGTGCAGGCTTAATTTTACAAGCACTGTCATAGTAGTGTGGAAACGATCTGGTGCCATCTCTCAGTTACTTGCCTCATGGACAATTTAGAGTTACTTTGCTGACCACCCTGACAGTCCACCAAAGATGAAGTGTCAAGAACACACAGTGATTGTAAAGAAATATGTAGATAATCCTACAAATTACTTATAATTAAATAAAATCAGACTATATAAAAATGCTTCCTTTTTTCTTTATCCCGTTCTCTGCTCTTCAAAATATTCCTCATCCTTCAAGATTCTGCAGTGCTTCTTCTTGAGGAGGCTTTCCCTGACAGACCTAGGCAGACTTAGCCATTCTCTCTTTTGTGTTTCCATCCCTGCATTCTGTGTGGTAGTTATTTATGAGGCTGTAATCCTCACTTTGACTTTGAACTCTGGACAGATAGTCATTTTTCTATTTCCAACAATTACTATATTTCCTAGTAGGTTCTAGCTATATTAATAAAACAAGACATAAATCAGCTATATGCATCAAGTTATTAGGGCGGTTTGGCCTATGTGAGCTGACTTAAGTATATAAAAATGTCTTAGTTTTAAAGGCTTGCTTTTAGAACTGTGACAACTAAATAGATGTTATAGAGGAATATTGGGGGCTCAATATAAGGAACATTCTAATAATTTGAGATATTCACAAATGCAATATACTGATTGTGAGTAGTAATCATTTAACCAGTGAAATCCCTCAAGCAACAGAGGATAATTTATGTATGTCTATTATGTGTGTGTACGGATGAATAACCGGAGGTTAAAGTAGATGCTTTTTTAATCCAAAGAATACCTTTATATTTAACTGGGACTATGTGAATCTGTGGGGGTGGGGTAAGGAGGGGGAATTGACATCCAGAAGCTATTTTCAATACAGAGGCTAAGGAAAAATTAAGTTTTCCCAACAAAGCTTCACAGCTTTTAAAAACTTCAAAACATTTTGCTTTGGGCCAGACAAATCAATTCAATGTGGTGGCATGTTTATCACTTGGAAATAAAGCACCAATTGACTGTTAGCTATGCACTACCTTTGATTTTTGTAAAAAATTTAAAAAACCAATTGTTATTCCTAACTCCAATTTATTTGGAGGGGAAGGAGTTCTAAATGTGGAGTCCATGCAGAAAACATATTAAAAGAATGTTCATTCTTGAGAATTGAATTAATTTTGTTCTATACTTTATTTAGTGGACTCTTACTTCCCTAAGTTTTTAAATATCTCTTAGATAAGGATGCATGTTACAATGGGCTATGTGTTATATATATTTAATTGCAGTGTTTAAAAAAATATTTTCCAATGGTACATAAAGTAAAAGGTGTGGCATATAATCCATAGTGTTTTTATGGTCAAAGAAATGCAGTAAATTGAGTCATAATGGCTGAGAGAGTTTATATGATTCTGGTGTCAGGACTGCCTGAATGTGGATCCTATGCTAACTAGTGTAGCTCCTTAATTTCTGAGTATTAGTTTTCTCATCTATAAAATGGAGATAATAATATCTGCATCATAGATAGCTTGTCAAAAATGAAATGAAATTATGCTTGCAATGTGTTAAGCATTTCTTATTATGTCAGTTCCAACTTGTCATAGCCAGAAAGAGTTAATGCTTCTCCCAAATTGCCAAAATTATCAGAAAAAAAAAATTACAAAAATTTTTGAAGATCTGACATCATTTTATTATGCAAATAATTTTGACCTCCAAAGATTATTTATTTTGCTTCAGAAGCCTCATTTCTTCTGTACTGCTAACCAAACAGTTTATTCCATTTTGTGCAACAATTTATAATGAACGTTAAAAGAACTACTGATTATCTTAGGGGTTTTTGGCTCAATTACCTGTTTCAAATGCTCAATGACTAAGAAAAGCATGTCATTTTCTCTTCTCTTGCACACTGGAGTATAACAATAGACTGTGAATAGAGCAAATCAAAGAGACAAAAATACCAATATAAGGGGCCCATTGTGTTTAGTTTGTTGCCCTGTCATATGGTTTTAATTTAGGTCGGCTGATTGATTATGACAAATTGACAGATAGCACATTGTTCCTCTCTTGGAATCGCTAGACACTTTAATATTCCTATTCTTATCTGTCCATTTTGATTCCTAAACTTAAATGAAATGGAATTACAGTATTCACTTTGTTTTCCTGTGCTAAGTGATTATCTCTGAAGTGTAATTTTGTGATTAGGCGAGACGGCATGCACACACTCAACTAATGCTGATTTCCCCCAGGGTGCAGAACAGGTAAATTCATAATGAATGGATGTTGTGCTTTGATTTCAAATGGATGTAAAACCTTACCACACTTGGTAGTTTTATTTTAAAAATGTATTTAATTATTCTAAAATTAACAGGAGAATATTAAAATTGAACTTTAGAAATATGGCATTTAAACATAAGTCAAGGGTGCTAACTGCTTGTGAATGTTAATCCCCTTCAAAAATTAGAAAACAAATTTACCTGACATAAATTGGGGGATGGGGTGTCATTGAAAATCTTTAGTTTAATTATTTATATTCTTCCTGATTAATTCCGAAAATGTCTGAACACAGCTTGGTATTTGTATTGTCAAATTTCAGTGTTCCTTATTTTGAAAACTACAGTAATTATTCAACTAATTGCTGCCATAGTATTGTCATAGTTGTTTGATCCTGAGGGATAACTTTGGGGATTAGGTAAGAAGCTGGGAGTTAGTGATTGGCATAAAGTATTTACTTTAACTATTTCCACTGATATTTTAAAAACAAATTTTGTACATGAGCATGAGAGACCAATTTTGAAGAGAATTTAGCATTCTCCAAATTAGAGGTTGCCCAAACCACATCTTTTTACTGATTTTACTTGGAATAAGCATTGACCATAATATTGTGAATCTTGAAGTGGGAAACATAATATGCTATTTCCTAAATTTATTTTAATTGAGGAGGGAGGGAAAGGAAGGCAGAATACATGAATTTATCTAAGGCCTACGTTTTCCCTCAAATTCTCTTTTAATAAAACCTATAAAATGAAGTGCTTGTGGTTCTAATATAACATTAATGGAAGTTTTAACTTTAAGAAACTGGAGAAGTCATCATCAGAGAGACCTTCTCTTCTTAGGTATGAGGAACTGAGGCTCATGATTATTAAGTGAGATGTCACTCTAGTAATGGCAAAGGCTCACTCAGCTCTTCCGACTGCCGGGATGGCACTCTCAGTATTGTTGTGCAGCCTCAACATCAAGCGTATGGATGCAAAGAGGTCTGGAAATATCCACAACTTTCCCTTAGAACTTTCGAAGAAGGGCCAATTTCTTAGTTTTAATTCTCTGTACCTTTCTACTTCTTGATTTGAACAACAGCAACAACAACAAAAAAACCACAAACCACTTTTATAATATAAAAATATCATATGGAAAAGTGTAATTTAAAAAATGGATTTCGATATTCTGAACGATTACCATATTGAATAAGCAATTACAAAAAATATGCTACAACACAAATATGGTTCGCTAAAGTGTATTTCTCAGCGTGCACCCCAGTTCACCAGTGTATGTATTCACTCCCTCTGTCTGGCAGCTGGTGAAGAGGCTGCTTAGTTCTGGCTCAGGTATATTGCCCAAGCGTTCAAACAGCTCTGTCTTTCCAAGAAGAGGCTGCTCAGATTTCTCATCTTTCTTTCAGCCGCACTCTGCACTTCTAGTGTACCTCTTCGTGATCATACTTCGGTACACTATTTTCAGATCTGTCTGAATTCATTAACTTTTTATTTTCATTAGTAATTTTAATGCCTTTCCAGTTCATGTAAAAAAGAAAAAAAGCAAAATATTTTAAGTAACATAAGGCATTTGTAAATTGGGTTGACAATCTTTCATTCATGCTTTCTTCCATCAGTTCAGCTCTTTTCAAAGTGGTCTGAAGCTTTGCCATTCAGGAGGAGGAGGAGAGAGAGGGTTGCTGTGCCATCACTTGTAAAACCATGGCTGGAAAGAATAAAGGCTAAAAGTGCGAGCTGTGTTGCATCTTATCTTCCCTGGCTTGGCCTGGAGCGTTATATCCACACCTGCATATTTATTATCTTGAATACTTACTGTTTACGGATCAGGGTATCCATTCAACTTATTTTTCAACGTCACTATTTTTACAGCGTCCGCCACCTTTGAAGACTTTCAGATTCGTCCGCACGCTCTCTTTGTTCATTCCTACAGAGCTCCAGCGTTCTGTGATCACTGTGGAGAAATGCTGTGGGGCCTGGTGCGTCAGGGCCTTAAATGTGAAGGTAAGTTGATTTCTTCCCCTGCCAAGTCGATTGCCTGCTGGAACGTTCTGCTATGTCGTGCCCACCATTACCGAATCTTTCCCTCAGAATTATCTTCCAGGTGTTTTTGGGTGCATGGATTCTGTTCTGTTCATTTCTTTAAATTTCATGTCTTTGATATACTTGGTCTAATTTGGGAATCCATGATTTTCACATCCTTTCCCCTTTATCATGTGGATGTGTCTCTCCCCTGTATTGTTAGATGTTTTAATAATAGACTAAAAATAAAATTTTTGCATCTTAAATAAACCAGAAATTGGTATCATAGGCATTCAACATGTGTTTGTTGAAATGAGCATAGATTCAAGAGGTTAATCAAATCATCTAAGGTCATTTAGCTGTTGAGTGGCAAACTTGAAATTGTACCTGCATTTCTACACCGATACCATAGTTTTATCATGCCTGTGGTAGGAACTCCTTGAACTGCACAATTCAATGTGCTAAAACAACATGATAAAAATGTTAAAATCTTACCCAATCACACCCTGTTCTCTTTGGATTGGGGGATAGAGCTCTTTGAATTTTGACCAGTATGACTGAGCATTTATGATGCAACCTATAAATAAGTTAACTGTAATTTTTGAATTTCTGTGTTTTGAGGAGAGAAATTAGGAGTCAGTGATATAAAAGAAATTCTGCCTAAAGTGTAGTTTTATGAATTTGTCTGGCCTGCTGTGACACATGAGGAAATTCTAAGTAGTGAACTCCAGCTGCATGGGGAATATGAATAGTAGAAATACTGAAAGGAAGATGATACTTCCCTGAGTGGGAAATCTGCTTCCAATTATTGATCACCTAACATGTGAAAACCAGCATGTGAGGTATTTTACATATCTTTTTAATAATTCTTCAGGGTTGTTATTACTATCTTCATTTTATAGACAGGAAAACTGAGGTGAGATAATTTGTTCAAGACCATGTAGACAAAACAGTTATAGGGACAAGATTCAAACCTGGGAGTTTTGTTACTTGATCCCTCAAAGCCCAAGTCTGTTATATCACAGACGTTTTGAAAAATGATAATCAGTGTAGTCACTGAGCTTGTCCAATTAAGATCAGAATTCAAAACCCATTTACAAATGGGAAAAAAAAAAATCAGATAAAGCCAAAACAACAAAATTTGAATTTCCAAATAGCCTCAAGAAAAATGGGAGTACTATTTTTTTAAAAAAATGTATACTTTACAACTAATATTGGAATAGGTCTTTAATTTATGGTTGAACAAAAGCTATTTTTATTTTCACCTTCCAGGATGTGGTCTGAATTACCATAAGAGATGTGCATTTAAAATCCCCAACAATTGCAGTGGCGTGAGGCGGCGAAGGCTCTCCAATGTTTCCCTCACTGGACTCAGCACCGTCCGCACATCATCTGCTGAGCTCTCCACCAGTGCCCCTGACGAGCCCCTTCTGGTATGGCCTCCTGTTTATCCACTTCCCCGTTTACATGAGAAATCTGTGGGATGATGTGATAACAGTGTCAATCCAAGACAGTGTGCTGGGAGGGAGGACACAGCTGGGGTGTTAATGACAGTGTTTCTTCAGGGCCTGTGCTGTAGATTGGTCACTGCTTCATCAAATATCCAACAGCTTCGAGTTTGCTTTTTATCACGGAGCTTAGCGAAATTATAAAATATGTGAGGTTTTATCGTGGTCATAGGGCCAGAGCAGCACCGACTAATGTGTTAATGTTGCAAAACATAGTTTGTCAAAATTTAGAAACCAGAGATAAAAAATGTTCTCTGAAGATTATTAGAGGAATTTGTGGCATGGCTGAGTGTTTATTTTGGGAGAAAATTTGAAATTTGCTCTTAGGAAACTATGAAAGTCTTTATTGCGTAGCATTACTGGCATACATGCAGGGTTATTGTCAGACATTGATAAGTCCTTTGAGAAAAAAATAGCACTTAATATGTCAAATATTTCCATTAGCTCTAGAATATATATCTTATGGATATGGTTTAAATATTCTTCTTTTTATTTATTTATTTATTTTTAATTTCGGCATATTATGGGGGTACAGATCTTAAAGTTTCAATAAATGCCCTTTCCCCCCTCCCCCCACAAGTCTGAGTTTCCAGCATGACCATCCCCCAGATGGTGCACATCTCACTCATTATGTATGTATATATCCGCCCCCTTCCCCCTGCCCAATACCCTATTACTGTAGTACCTATGTGTCCACTTAGGTGCTGCTCAGTTAATACCAGCTTGCTGGTGAATATATGTGGTGCTTGTTTTTCCATTCTTGGGATACTTCACTTCTTTAAGAAAGTTAAATTTGGATTTTCCAAACATTCAAAACAAAATCAAAATTTTGGTAATTATGTGATTTTTTAAAATAAAAACTTTATTTTGGAAGAGGTTAATGGTTTGAGACTTTAAATTCCCCATATTTACTCCTCGCATCTCCCAGTGGATATTATGAGGATTCTTTATAATCTAGCTATTATAAAAATTAACTAGAAAGAAAACAATGTTTAAAAATTACTAAAACATTTAGGTTAAATAGATCCCTCTTGTAATGGAAAGGGGCAATAAATTTTGAAGACATCTGTAAGAAGTTATATTAATTACTTCATTGTTTTGAAAATATTTTATTGTGATCTTTATAGCACTAAATTTTGTTACAGCATAAACCACCATATAACTCACATGAATGCTCATTTTGATAAATAGGAAAATTTCATACTCTGCTCTTACAGAACTTTCTTTTGGAGCTTTCTTGTGTTTTCAGTATATCATTAAGTGAACTCATTGGGGGAAAGCAGATTATAAATTCCACCAATAACTAGGATAATATGTTATATTTTTGTAATATAGAAAGTGTAAGTATGATTATATATTATTCCATAAAGTTCTATTAATTGAAATTAGTGATATTCTTATGGAAAGCTGTTTAAATAAAATATATTATTTTTAAAAAAATAATTCTTATGTCATCTTCCCAGATCAGAAGTTCTTTGATTGAGTTTGAATTTTTGCAAGTAGTGATTTTATAAGTTATAGCAGTTATTCTTGCTTTTAAGCATAGTTACTGAGAGTCATGTTTATAAGATAGGTATTTAAAAATGAATTTAAGAAACAAATTATAAATTAATTATGTGTTTTCAATTTTAACAGGAAACGGTTTTTAAAAATTAGCACCTCACAAAAAATCAAAAGCTCTAAAGTCATTCATCATTAGAATATATTTAATCTAGATAATTAAGATTACTTCTTTTTATCCTACCTTAATTTTATCCTGTTCAAGATTACTTCTTTTTATCATACCTTAATCTTATATAATACATATAAACACATAGGTGGGTGTGTATATCTATATATACATATATATATATGCATACACATTTGTGTATATCTTATGTGCACACATATATATCTATACTTCAAAACATCACATATACAATTTAGGTTTTATATGTATAGATTAACTTATATATTCAAATTATATCTATGCATATATATAAATCTACATAATTTATATATAAATATAACTTAGCTTATGTAACTATAACACAGATTTTTGTGTTTTTAAACAAATTTATTTAATTGCTTTATATAACCAAATTAAAAAAACTATTTCAATATTTGAATTACTTGATTATAAGCTGTAGAATGCATAAAATCCATTTTACAAATATATTTTTAAAATTCAAATTTTAACCATGTCTGTCAAGAAGACTTGTAAAATTGTGATCAAATCAGATATTTTTGATGTGAGAGAAAATATTGGAGCCATATGATACTTTGAAAAATATTGCCATCATAAGCTTTTACAACCTTATATAAAATGCTCTTCAGGTAAACTTTAAATAAGAAATACCTTTGTAAATAATGTTTTTGACATTATTTGACACGCTGGCTTTCAAAATCATATTTTACATGAATCAAAGCCCTTTGTGTCCTTGTGGGGTGGCTGCTTCTCTCTTTTTATCCAATCCCTGAGAAAGTAGGATACATTCATCCACCCTGAGGGGAACACATATTTCTCTGTTGCTTTTGTTCCCTCTCATGTCTTGGCTACTTCATGTAGGGACAAAATTACCCAACTCTAGGCAGGCATGCTTGGAGTACAATGCATATTTCAACCTTGGACAAGACATAAAAGGCCAGTAAGTATAATCTAAAAATTATATGAACGCCTAGTAAGATATTATGGCAATAATCATAAAAACCTTTTGATTCTATATATAATAAAGAATATTTTCCATTTCTGAAAAGGATGATAACCTATGTTATCATTAATGACATTAGACTATCCATTTTGTAAGTCAGCCTGATAAGTGTATATATTTTCTTTCAAATATAAGAAAATTATATTTCTTGTTTCATAATTGACTGTTTATTTTTACTATAAAAGCCCTATTTCAGGTACAGATTAAGACATTGGTAATTCTATTAATTTATTCATTTTGGGCACAGAAATTGAATCTCAGATTTCTATAATGCTTTTAAGATAGAACAAAAGTTATAACAGCATAGATCATATGGCAAACTTTATCTGTCATCAACTTTATCAGTAAACTGTATTCATTATGCTAACAATAAATGTCTATCTTTAAAAAAATTCCAAAATCCTAAATGTAGTCAATTTATGGCACAACATCTCTGTAAGGATTTATTTCTTTTTGTAAACCAACACCAGTATTAGAAGTAAACAAAAGAAGAATTCAGTAGATCCTTAAATAGAACACTTTAATATAGTATATCATTATATATAAGTATACTTATCAATATTGTATCAATTTTATAGACTTTTGGACAATTGAAGAAGTCAGGATTAAATGATTTATAATTTGTCTATGCTTTGCTCATCTTTTAATTTTTTTTGCATGTGTTCTTGTGAGATTTGGGAAAAGCCAAAGCCAATTGGAACCACACTAGGCGAGACTTTGTCTTAGGCAAAAAGTTTTAATAATAATCTGGTATAGAACTTACGCTCCTAGGTATGAAAGAGGAGCTTTTCTCAGATCAGCTCTCCTTTGTGGGACAATTCTAAAAGCTGAATAAAATATGAAAGGACAGAACAAAACCCTGTTTGAAGGCATCCAAGAGCAACCAAGGCAATCAGGACTTGAGGGACCAATCACGGAGAGGTCAGTGCACAGGACAGCCTCTCACGATGAAGGACATGTCCAGCCCCATATGTCAGTAGTGCTGAGGTTGAGAACCTGTGATGTAGAGCAAAACTGGAGAATTTCCAAGCATATTACAGAGCCATGGTTAAGACAAGGTAGTATTACAAAAAGTCAAGTATAAAGAATTAAGTGTTAAGACAATGTGGTATTACACAAGGACAGAAAAATAAACCAATGAAATAGAATAGAATCCAGAAACTGTGTGCATATGAAGGCCAACTGATTTAAGACAGGGGTAAAACTGCTGGGAGAAAAGGATGGTCTTTACAACAAATATTTCTGACACCAGTTGGATACCTATGTGGAAAATATGAATGTTGACCCTGCCATACACTGTGTGCAAAATCAGTTCTCTATAGATTGGGATCTTCTAGGAGATAACATAGAAGAATATCTACAAGAACTTTGGGTAGGAAAAGCTTTTGTAAACAGGCCTCAAATCACTGATGACAAAGGAAGAATATCAATAAATTGGATATCATTAAAATTAATAAATTTTCATCAAAATTTACCATTAAGAGAGTAAAAAGTAATAGAGTAGGGAAAGACATTTTCAATACAATTTATTATATAAAAATTCATATATAGAGTATATAAATAACATTTACAAAAAGTTAGAAGACAGACAACCCCATTGAAAATATAGCAAAATACTTGAACAGCACTTTATCAAAGAAGATAGCCAATTTACATAAAAATGTGCTCAACATCTTTAGTTATAGAGGAGTTTAAAGTGAAGTCTGTAATGAGCTATGCCTATACCAAAATGTCTGAGATTGAAAGAAAACCTGATAATAGCAAGTATTGGTGAAGATATTGAGCAACTAGTACATATTATACACTACAACTGGGACTATATATTGGCTCCAAAACTTTGGAAAACTGGTTGGCAGTTATCTTCTAATGCTGAGCATATGCATATCATGTGACTCAGTAGTTGCCTCAGTAGCTCTACTTGTGGGTATTTATTCAACAGAAATGCGTAGAGACAGGCACAGAAAGTTACGTTTTGCACAGAAAAGCATGTTTTTTAATGTCTTTATTTGTGATAGCTTAAAAATGAAGCAAATAGTGGTGTAGTCATACAATGGGATGTATGAACGGTACAGCAATGGAATTGATGAACTATTTATTCACTTAACAACATGGATAAATCTTGCAAAATAATATTTAGAGAAAGAAGTCAGACACAAGAGAGTATAGACTTCTGAATCCAGTGTATGAAGTTCAAGTCAAGCAAAACCAATTTATGGTGAGATACTTCAGAATAATGGTTCCTCTTAGTGGGGTGTCAACTGGGAGGGAGCAGAAAAGAGCTTCCTGTGATGCTGGAAATATTCCCTATCTTGATCTGGGTAGAGGTTACATGGGTGTATGCACATACAAAACCTCATCAGGCTGTACACTTAGGGTGTTGTATACTTTACTTCATATAAATTATACCTCAGTAAAAATGTTTTAAAATGACAATAGCAATGGCTATCCAAATAAGTTATATAGTCATTGGAGTTCTTCAACACAGGTCATGTGAGAAAAGGATAAAATATTATATCAGAATAATAAATAAAGTTCTGAGATTCTTATCAATTAAAAGAAAACTGGAATATTAAACTTCCATTATTCAATAATAGGAAACAAATTCTTTGAGTGCTAAATTAAAGGTAATAAACCACATCATCCTGAGATACATAATATTCATTTGCATGATAAACATTGTTTCCTACAGTAGTTTTCAATTATAGATGCAAAACTGTAATTCATAGGATCTTCATTCAAGAGGAAACAACAAAAACGAAACCGTGGCATAATACAGCTAACTACCAATGAAATCTGTGGCTCTCTTTTTCCTTTGTGATCTATGGACATTTCTAGTGATTTTAAATTGATAGCAAGATAAAAAGATAGAGCTGTCTGTGTGATTCCCAAAATATTTTGTCAAAATAATGGCCCCATAAAATATTCTGCCAAAAAAAATCTTGATCAAATAAGATTGGGAGATGGTTTTGGTTCATCCAAGAATTGGACAGAAGTTATTAAGCATAATTAAAAAGTCTTGTAATAATAAAATTAGTGTTCCTAAATTAACTCGAATATGGAATCCCTTTTTCTCATAAAACCCATGAAAATCTTGTGGGAAAAATGTGCACTTTGGGAAATGATAACTTACAGGAATCAGTGAATGAATACATGTTGCATAAACCATCTTCATATATGCACTTAAATAGCACTTAGCTGAAGTTGAATTTTGATGAGATTCCAAAATAAAGGTATTGAGAGCTAATAATTGGAGGGAAAGCATGAGCTTTGGATATCAGGCATATAGATGAAAAGGATAATATCTTACTTTAAAAATTGAAAAAACTTGATTTCCTTTCCCAAAGAGACAGCTTTGCCACCCCTGCATGCATATGTCTCATAAGACTACCTGCAAACAGGGTTATTGTAATTTTTACTTGAAAGTCAGGTTTGGATCTGTTCAAATGAGTAGTTGCTGTCCCTGAGTTCTGCACATGTTTCCTGACAATTCAGAAATCTAACAGGTATTACTAGATAACAATTAATATTGGCAGAACCTCAATCTAAATGTACACAACTTCCCAAAGTTTCTTACAAAATTGCCATAGATTGCAAATGAGAATAAGGGGATTCAGAGAATGTAATAGGATTTTTCTTAACGTGCAGTAGTTCATTCAACACTGAAAAAAATCATATCTCAAAACATAGTCATACATTTTTGTTATGAAAAAGAATGAAATATATTTTAGTTTTGATTTGTTTTCTAGTTATCAGGTAGAGCTGCCAAGAAAACTTAAGAGAGAGAAAAAAAACATAACATATTCAATATAAATTACCAGATAAGTGTTGTCTACTTAATCAAGCCCTATCTTACATTTTTCATTGATACTGCTTCTCTTCTTTAAAAAAAATCAAGAATAACCTTTCTACTTTTAAATTGTATTTCAACCTTGAATGAAATCAGATAGAAAACAATGACATGCAACAAAGACTCTAAAATGAGCAAAGAATGTACTGTGGGCATATTTCTCTCATTAAAACTCTACTCCACTGTTGAACTTTCCAGGTTTGGAAACCACTGACTGATACTGATTATTCATCAGCTTATTCTTGCCTGCAGGCAGATAACAACTATGTAACGTTTGATTACTTTGATGACCTTTTTCTTTCTTTTCCCATTGAGAGGATGAATTATTGTGAAGAAAATCTAATCCTTCACTTAAAGGTCAAAAATACTTCATTTTGACTATAATTTATTTTCAACAAGATGAAAGAGCCATCTTTCATCACTGAGACCATGACAAGTAGAATTTTTTTTTTTTACTTCTACCAGCTAACACTGTAAAATGCATTATTGCAATATCGATTTAGTGTCTATAATTCCAATTACATGTTAAAAGTAGTTTCCAACTCAGATGACTCTATGGCCACAAAGACTGACTAGTATAACATTTTGGTTTTTCTTGAAAACACACCTATATGAAACATTATTGAGTAATATGCATTACTTTCCTCCAATAACATTCAATAACATTGTTTTCCTGTCTTTTTCTCCTTTTATTCTGCACCTTTGCCTGCTTTTCGCTCTTACAACTTCATGTTTCAGTCTCCTGTGAGTCCTGGCTTTGAGGTAGGTACTAATACTACCTTGCACTAGGAATGTGGTTTACTATCTTTTTGAAGCCAACATTGTAATATTGGATTGATATCAGCCATTTATCTATATTGACTCTGTGAGAATGATCAGGTCAGAGTTTAGCTTAGAATTCAACTCATTTGAACTGCAGAAAACCCATAGGTTTTTGGGTTTTTTTTTGTCTTGGTTAGCTATTCACAGTCTTCAATAAGACAAAGAGCAATGAAGTCATTAGAGTAGTAGAATTAGATTTATTAGGTCAAATTTTGCCCTTTGGTTCCTTGATTTCATGACATTGGTGTCTTTTCTGTGAAACTGAGCAGACAGGTTGAGAATAAAACAGAACGTGATCAGCCCTTGCCCCACACCATGCTCACTGAAACTCATCCATATGAGCCATGTCCTCATCCCAAGTATCACAGAACCACACAAAGTGAGGACGCAATCCCAACGCGCAGGGGCTTCAGTTGGCACCGTAAAGACCAAAGCAAGTTCTGCCTGAAGAGGACTATAACTGCTCATTATAGTTCCTGAACTTACTTTTTCAATAAAGGATCTTTAATCTTTACATCTTATCACAACCTCTTGATTATTTTTAAAAAGATGGTATGCAAGTAGAAATATCAAGCAAATAATCCAAGCAGAAGATATTACATATGGGAAAGAAACAACGTCCTTCAAAAAAGTTTTGATTAAGCCCCCCTTCAAAACTGTCCTTTTTTCTATCTTAAGCAATTACTAACCTGAAGGTGGATGAGAGGTATTTAGATCAAGTATTAAAGCAGAGTATACAATAGTGCTCTTTTTATGATGATGTGTTTTGACCAGTTTACTTGTTAATGTTTAGTTTCTTGTATTTCTGTACCTCTATCCCACTGAGAATTGACATACTATTATTTTTCCTTATGAGAAAATAAATTTCAAACACCATTATTAGTGTCCATGCTAAGATGGTCTTATTAAGGTAATTCTAACAGAGGAAGCTAATGAAAACACAACCAGAACATGCTCTGAGTTAATAAAAATTGATGAGTCAGGATTTCTAATTCATGAGATATAAAATAAATCTGCTTCAATAATAGTAAATTCCTATTTCTGGAAAATCATCCTTGTTAAAAAAATGTTCTACTTACAAAAAAGTTCAGTGTGAAAGCTAGGTAAATTTAATCTTTCATATGCTTGTAAATTTGGTTTGTAATTTAAAATGCCTTCTAGACATAATTTTAAATGTGAATTAGTATCTTTCCCTTCAAATAATCCTTTGGGCATGAAGCCAAAGGAGGATGGGAAGCATTTTTCACTTTGTTCTCCCGCATTGCAGTCGGGAACAGATTGCGTAAAGGAGGAGGCCTGAAGAGTAGCCTGATTTTCTGTGGAAGTTGTGCAAACTAAAGGCAGCCAGGCCTTCACAGCATAGCTCCTGATGGAAATGAGATGCATTTTCTGCCTAAGCTGCTTTTCTTGAACTTTGATTATATCTATTTTGTAAAGAAGATAACAGTCTTTTGTCTTTATAAGTTTCTTGAAAGAAAAAAATGTGTAAAACTTGACCAAAATTTCTTCAGAGAAGTATTTTAGAGACAGTTGTGTAAGTAGCAGAATTATTATAGGAACCTGGTCATTGCTCCATTTTCAGCATATCCTGTTCAATTTATGCTTTCAGGTTTGTAATCCTAGAGTGCAAAAGTAGACAAATATAGATAAATTCTCTGCCCTCATAAAGCTTGCATAGATAGACAGTATGTCAACAACAACAAAATATATGTTTTTGTAAAACCTTCCTGGTATGACATCACAAGGATATGTATTAATTTTTGTAATCAATCTCTCCTATTGATTAGATTGTTTCTATTTTTAAATTTTCAACAATGCTAGAATAATATCCTTATGTATTTTTTGCACATTTGTAAAAGTATTAGTAGGTTCTCAATAAACATTTGTTGATTGAATTAGTAGATTATATTCTTAGAAGTCAAATAGATTTTATACCTATTTTAACAAATAGTCCTTCAAAAAGTTCTCTTTGAGGTTAAGAGGCTCTCCACCAGAACTTATTTTCGGTGAAATTAAATGCTTCTAGCCTAATATTATTCTAAACATTCAGACTACCTAACTGAAATTACTAGTAAATAAACTGCTCTTTCTAAAATCTATTCCTGTATTTAACCATTTTATAGTCTCATATTTTACATTCTTTATTTTTTATGAAATGTGGACAGTATTCAGTTTAACTTTCTATGTGGGGTGCAGCATATTTTCTAAATAACAATTTTCCATAAACTGCTATTAATTTCATAAAGGTTTGCTGACATATTTAATTAAGACAAGTATTGTACTAAAAGGAGCTTTTGACTGCATGCTTTCCTAGAAAATCTCCCCAGCCACAAATGATTCATGTAGTTACTATTTTCATTTATTAAAATATGAAAATGAGAGAATACCAGAACTGCATTATCTGTCTATAATTGGATATGATCCTGATATACTTTATAATAGTCAAAAATAGATTCTTTTCAGATGAGCAAATAATGAACCCCCCAAAAAAGCTATTACCTTGAATGAAACTATGATGATATTTTCTGCCCAGATGAATATTTTCCAGGATATTTTGCAATGTAGCCAAAGTCTATCTAGAAGTGAGACTTTGTTACTCTTGTGTTCTGGAGTTCCAGGAATCCTAGGGATTTATCTGAATTTAAAAGTCATTTTTCTATTTAAATATGCACCATGACACCCATGTAGCATTTTGCCAAGTATTGCAAGATTTCCTTTGATGATTGTATAAAATAGGTCTCCAAATTCAAACCTGGGCAGTGTACACTTTCAGCGAGGAAAAATGTCAAAGAATTTTTTAACCAGCAAGCACTCTCTTGCCTCTTCAGAATCAGAAGAGTTTTGTAGTGGTGGGTCTGTGAGGAAGGAGCCCTTCAGTAAAATGAACAAGATTGAGAGGCCTACTTTGATGTACTGTTACCTGATGTCATTCAACAGGCTTGGCTTATCATATGTGTACATTATTATTAATAATTCATGCTGTGAACAAAAATTTGTATATTTATAAATATGAACACTATCGGAGAGTTCTCTATGAACCCCACTGGAGGAGGGGGACATCATGTACCCCTTGCCCACGCTCACAAATACATAGAGCTTAGGAACAAGTAGATATTTAATAAAGGCTCTGAAGGGCCTGGGCATCCTGCAGGCAAGGTGCCACATCCCCCGTAACACACTCCCCACAAAGCACAAAACAGAGCTCTCCACTGTTACCAAAAGCAGTCATAGCCATCTGTGTCCATCTAATGATGTGCCTGCCCCGGGCAAAATTCAAGTCTCTTTCCATTTAATTCCTGACCTCTCATAACTACTAAGCTCCTAGATGAGTAATATGAAAAGAGAGAAAGAGAGAGAGAAATTGCTGACATTCACTTTGAGAGCTTAGGTATCCTCATGAATGTGGCTACTCAGAATAAAAGGGAAGATTTGTGAGGAAGAAATAATGAGAAGGAGAGAGGAGATTGGAAGACTGGAATTGATGCTATAAGTTAGACCTCTAGAAACTAGAAGTAGTTCAGCCTCTAAAATATTAATCTATGTTTTCAGAAATATTTAGTTACATTATTTTACATGATCCGTTAGACATAGTTCTCCGATGCTTGGTTCAATTAGATCAGATGAATTCCTGCCTCCCATCTCAAGAAGAGTGAGGGTGGTACCATTTTGAGAATAAATATAATAAAATGCAAGATGAGACAATGTTCAGAAATTATGAACAAACATGTCTCTTTCTCTAAATAGCCTAATTTGTGGTGGTATCTATTTTTCTGTAGCCATGCACTGAAAATGTCACTGAGTGATGTAATTTCACTGAGTTAGTATTTTCCTGTATTGTTAAAACCCGAGGGTAAGTAAAGGAAAAAGTCCCTTATCTTTTTTCTTTTTCTCTTTTTTAATTGAGTTGCATTAAAATCTGGTCTGTGGTCCTACTACATTGTTTCAGAAGCACATGTACATGCACACACACATAGTGCTACATGTTTACCAATGACAGTTATAGGCTACACTTCTATAAAATACTATAAAGTGATCCTTTCGGACCATGTTTGAAACAAGAAGTTCTAACCTTTGTAGCCTTGAACTGTGTTTATGGCATGCTTTCGCAGCCTCTCCTTGGTGTCTCCAAGGTGATAATCAATTGGCCAGGCTCTTTCCAGACTATTTTGATCATCTTTCCAGCAAGCTCATAAACCCAAGCAGGGTCCTTGTCTGTTTAGGCAAGGTCAGATACTATGGGAGTGTTTATCCCTAAAATAACTGTACTTGATTTTCTCACACACTGTGTTTACCATCCAGTTCACTTTCTATGTGTAGATCAAGTCTAACACTCAAAGCCTCAAAGCAGAAGTTTCTGACATGCAGTTGTTTTCTTCCTCAGTGCAAATGCCCCTTTTTATTTCATAAATTTAGAGTGCATGGCATTAAGTTTTCATTGCCTTCAGTAAAAAGAGAGGTGATCCTACTTATATTATGTCTCCCCTTTCCTCCAGGAACCCACAGATGTGTAGGATGTTGGAAACTGACATTTTGAAAGAACAGTGCATGTAATTTGCCACAATTCTTGAACAGTTCTGATGCTTTCCCTGAAAAGGGTGGATCACTTAAGAAAATAGTAAGGTTACTTTACCCTTCATTTCTGTTTACTCAAAAAGTGAAGCAAGAAGAAAGTTAATGTAACTTCCACGACTATTTCAGCACTCAGCACATCTAGCCCACCTTACATTTTTAATAAGAGATTATATATGTTATTACTTTGAAAGCTTTCACGAATTCTGCAAACATTAAGAAATGGATTCTCCACTGTAAAATGCAGCATCTGTCAACTACTAAGCAGTGAGCACACTTTTTGGGGGGCCTGCCCACTGTTTTGAAAAAGTATTGATTAGCTTTTATTTATGCTGTATATTTAAGGGTTTGGGTAGGTTGTTCAAAGGATG